CAACGCACAATTGTGATTTAGGGTTTGTTGGGATGATTAGAGTGTGCAGGGGGGATTGAGTTGTAACCAGAAGAGGACGATCTTAGAATACACTTCAGTGCCCCTTTAATAGACTGACCTTTGTGCTAACATTTGCGGACGTAACCTTTTCCGAAAGATGAACCATGACACGCGAATTGAATACTACTCTAACTGGACAATCACCAAATGGAGTAATAATGTTTTTGTTTTTTTAAAGATACAATCAGGGGCAGGTTTTTGGGTGAAGCTTTCGGGGGAAGGAGGGCGGGGGAGGGGGCTGTTTGCAGAGCGATCTGATCAACGTTACTGGAGCAGCCTTGCTCCAGTAACGTTGGGTCTGATGTCATGGACGGATGTGACGTCACAAGCGATGCATTGTCCAAATCTTTTTCGTTGAGGTCAAAATTGAAATTTCATCAAAAGAGAAACATTTTCAAAAGAAAACATTGATGCATGTCGTTTTCATTCCAAAGACGTTGCTCTTGCGAGGCTTAAAAAGGCGCCTCCCTCCCCCCTCCTTCTCCCCTATTAATGAACGCAGAAAATGACAGTAATGAGGTTAGTTTTGGGCAAGGTGTAAAGTAATACTCTTCAGGTGAGGACAGCGCGCTCGTCGCGCAGTGCATATAAAGTTCGCTTTTCACTCTCTCTCTTTCTCTTTCTCACTATGGTTTCAAGCGGCGCCGGCAGATGACTCGTCGACCCGTGGGCACGGCAAAGACGGCTCGTGCCGCCTCATGCTCCACACGCGCAGAACTCCAGCGAGGTTGTCAGCCGTGCAGAAAGACCACGGTCACGGTGTACAGGGGTGTCATGGCAACGAGATGATTTGTTTCGCCCTCACACAGTTTGGCCGTTTGGCCGCCGGCGACACTGTCAGCCGCGGGCATGGTGGCCGCGGAATAATGCAGCCTTTCGGATGCCCGTCGAACGAACACTATCTGATTCCTCGCGCCTCGCGTTCAGCCCCGCCGTGTCTTCACCTAAAGAGTGTGTCTTACACCGTGGTTTTGGGGAAGACCTGGATGGAATACAACGGGACGGAGGACACGTGGCAGACGGTCGGGCGAAGAGACACGAGTTGGCGCGTAACAGAGCGTGCTACGCGAGGCTGGGGCAGGGTAGGAACGACGCAGCCGATCTGGCCTATGGTGATCCCCGGAGTGCTTCACCAGCAAGGTTTGGAGCAGGACTGGAGGAAACGGCGAGCCCTGGCCATTCGGGCCTGGGTCATGACGATCCAGGTGTGGTTCCCCAGTGAGACTCGGGCTATGATAGCCCGGGACAGCTTACCTACGCAGCGGTTGTCTGAGAAGGACGATCCGCAGGCCTGGACGCGGACTCCCACTGCGAGCTCTGAACGACGGACGACAACCAAGGTCTGCGGCCCCCGAGTTCCGGCTTTCGAGGAGGGGTAGCCGGGAAATACAGTAAACCCATTCGTCTTCTTCTCGGTGTGTTGTGTCACTCAGCACAGACCGATCGGGCGGCGATTGTTATAGAGCGAGATTACCACAAAGAATACCACAAAATTGTTAGCATTGGAAATTGTTTTATGGATTTGAAGCGTTAAATTTAAGTGAAACGTAAAAAAAACTGAGACACTCTAAATTGGGATTGAAATCTTGAAATAAATCATGATTCAATGAGAAATTAATTTGCGCTGGATTTACTCTAACAATTTAAATCAAGCCATTCTCATAAGCGCGAATCACCAAAATAAATTTTTATTTACCTAATCCTCTATACGATTTGCCTATCGTTCAATCTTTTCCACGTGATTTCCGAATAAAATAAAATTATCATTGAGCAAGAACGATCAGACTGAGCATACACCAAAGGTCGTGCTCTTCGGAGAAAATCGAAGTGTTCAGCTTTCTTTCAAACTAGAACTTTGTTCTTCAACTGTCCGTTGTCCTCTCGCGAGGAAGACATAAATCGAAAAGAAGGAAGGTAAACAAGTGAAGTGCGTCAATAGCGGCGTAACGGGCGTCAATAGCGGCGTAACAGCAAGATCGGGCGCTTGGGCGAGATTGACTGAGGATCGCCATGCGGAGCCCCTTACGTACAGGCGTTGGCTTCTGGAACAATCGGCCTAGAATGTTCGGCGACGAGAACATTCGCACCTCGAACATGCAACAGGATTCTCGAATTTACTAGAACACTAAATTGCAAGGATAAACAAAAGACGCGTCGGTCCCAGGAATCAAACCCTGGCACTTCGCGTGGGAAGCAGGCACGATAACCGTTAGGCCACGGCCGGGCTACCTACTTGGCTAGCTGCGCGCGCGGCAATATTCATGAACGTGAGACGCGTGCACCCTTGTCGATGGCAGCGGCTCAGTATCAATATTTAACAAGGACCAAAGAAACTCTCTGAGAACCCAATAAGGGCCAAACAATCCAAATTTAAAGTTAAAGCGGCAAGAAAAAAATTGTATAAAAAACTGGACAACGGTTATCATTGGTTCGTGGGCCACATTATTAAAATTGTGACTCTGCCTATTGGTGGAGTAGACTATGAGTTGCTGCTCCCCCAGCCAGAAATAAAGCGACTGAAGATGAGCATCTACTGGACGATCAACTCGCAGTCGAAAAAACAAGCCAATCGCGGATCTGCGCCCAACGAACACCTAGACGCTCCGCCGAAGCTTATTATTTCCGCTGAAGAAATTCCTATGCTATACACTGAATTGTTCAACGTGGGCACTTACCCTCCAGCTAAGACAAAATTCACGGTGCCTTTCGACATCAGTGACGAGGAAGTGGTGCAAAAAAACACTAAAACGTGACTCGACAGAAGGTTTGCCTAAAGCAGTAGCTAGCAAACATGCTTGATATCGACTTCATCCGACCTTCTGTGTTTCCGTTTGCGTCACTTTTCACCATTGCCACCAAAGGAGATGGAACATTCAGGTTCTGCACGGACTACCGTGTTTCAAACAAGCAGAGCGTTTGTATTTTTTTCTTAATGCCAAAAAAATTGCAACCATCATTGAAGAAACAGGAGGGTGCCGAAGTTTTCATGGATTGACCTCTGCAAGGAATTTTGGCAAGTTCGTCTACAAGAAGAATCAAAATGTATGTACAGCGTTCACTACACCTTTCGACCGGTATGAGTTCAACCGCCTCTCCTTTCGCTGGAGGAAATCTTCTACGTGGTATCAGAAGATGATGAAGCAGGTTTTAAAAGGCTACTCCGGAGTTTTCTTTATGGTCCCCGATCTGCCTCAAAATTTGCTAAACACACCAAAAAACATCGCTGAAATAGTAACTTAAATATCAAGCCAAAATAATGTTTTTGCGCAGTTAAACGTTGGTGTTCACATTGTTTTTCAACCTGAAAGCTTTTATTGGCAACAATGACAAAATGGCTCCTGCGTCAGGCAGGGTTTAACTCTGTGGACTGTAGAGTGTGTACCCAACTGATCAGATGCAATTTAATTGTGTCAAATGAGAGCTTTCGAAGCTCGCTTAAGCAGCCGCGCGCCAGAACTAAGATATTATCTTCATAGTCCTTTTTTAGACTGCCCACTCAACCTCCGAGCCTGCTTGCCGCTGACGTCAAGGCACCGAAAAGCGCGGGTGTATATGAATGTTAGTTTTGGCACCTTTTTAAATTGCGGATTTCACAATAAATATTCTGAAGTTAGCAATCCAGCGTACCGGAAAGGATAGAAGTCGGCTCTCCACAAGTACTATTCAGATGACGTAGCTAAAACAAATTCCCTGAGTACCCCTTTAAGCACGTACCTTGGAGTTTTTTTTGCAACGCCTACAGCGTCGTCTATTCCAAAACGAAAATAGAACACCGACAGCATCTACTAGATCTCTTGACAACACTTAGCTCCGCAAAACTGAAGTTTATATTCAAGTTGAGCGAGTTTTTTCAGTCCCAGGTGACTTTCTTCGGCCGCATCTTCAATGGTTCCACAAAACGTACGAAAGAGGAGCCTGTGGCAGGCATTTCACAACTGATTCAGCCTTATGACGTACACCCTCTCAGAGTGTTATCTTAGTGGCCACTTCCGAGCGCTCATTTAAGACTAAGATCTGAAGAAAAAATGTCTCACATGACTCACACAGAGGGATGTGAACGTTGGTTAGATGGAGGAGTGTCATGAATGAGCATACCGTTACATTGCTCAAATCATATCACGAGACCTGAGAAACAAGAAATATCTGCTTTCGTGCGCGCACACACGCACACACACAAACACACAGACACACTCACAAACACACACGAGCGCAGACACACATACATCGTGTGTGGGTCTTATTGTGAGTGTGTGTGTGTTTGCGCTAATTTTAGCAGGAAAAATAAGGTCACATAACCTGGCGTCACGCGTTCTTGTCATGTGACGTGAAAGTCGCGGTCTCGCGCGATGGCATGACGTCACGTGACGTCAGGTTTACCGCTAAACTTAACTGGGTTGTAAACAAGAATTAAGTTCTTTTTCTCTCCCCGAAACAACTGTTTAATGTCTTTTTTTCAAGGTTAAAAATGAAATGCTCCTTAAATATTGCAGTAATGCAGTATAGTCTTCGCAGATTTTTCCTGCCTCTTTCAAGCTGACTGCTCCCTGAGCACAGAAAACGTTCCCCAAAATCAGCGTTGCCTGAAAACGGGAAGTCAACTGCGTAAAGCAATGATATCAAGGCTTGGTCTGCTGGGCAAGTTGGTACTGGACATTCATATTAAAAATAGCGCACAAAAATACGGGACAAAAAGGTGGAGAAGCACACAGGACAAGCTCTTATCCTGTGTTCTTCTTCGCATAGCGCATAAAAGACGGGACGTCTTTATGCGCTATTTTTAATATGGATATCAAGGCAACGTGGCCCACCAAATGTGTGCCGACATCTGGGCGATTTCGGATAGATAAAACCCCGACGCATCGGAGTCTTATCGTTGTGACATTTGTGCTCGTTCTCAAGGTTCGAGCATATATAAGCTATTAAGTCACATTAAAACACGCGTCTGCTTCGACAAAGCGACTGCAGTCTCAACACATCGTGCACTCAATTATCGTTGCCATGAAAGCGCGCATTTTGCTCGTCTTCAGCGCCTGCATCACAGGTAAAACTTCATTCTTTGAAATTTGGTGTTCTATTGCCGGAAGGAATACTACTACGTTAAACGAAAACGTAGGTCCTAAGCGTAATGACGCTGCTGTCCAAGCAGTGCATGTTCTTAGAGTACGAAGCCTGGAAAGCGCCCTCAACTGGTGCCTACCGCGTCCAAAAAGTAGTGCCTCGATTCCTGCCCTATGACGTCACAGGAGCGTGATGTTAGAGAGCCCGTATTGCAGAGAGTCTCCAACTGCGCGATCATCGGAATCATATGGTCTATGGGCCGAATTCGCGATACGGGCTGCGCGAGGAGATGCCGTTAGAGCGTTGATCGTCTGCGAACGCGTCCGCCTTTCAGCTTGCTTTCTCCCTCGCCAAGCGAAAAGGCGGCGCATGCGCACCAGCGACCGATCTCCGGAGGAGTGCGTCCTCCACGAAATCCCAAACGTTCCCCAGGGAGGTGGGGAGGGAGAAGTGTTCGGAAAAGTATGCATTTTTTTTTATTTAGTTCAAACCTACATCTTACGACTAGACCAACTTCGATATGCTATGTTGAGATTGCAGTGCTGCACGTGCAACTCGGAAATTAACCAGTTTCGGAAATATTTCACCGGCTCAAATTTTTATCAGTGATCCGTGGAGTCGGCTTTACCACGGGGTGAATTGATTGCGGGACAAATATTTCGTGATTATTTTGAAATCGCCGAATTGGCAAAACGTAGGTCTTTATGAAAACCAAGGTGTTTAGCGGATACTCCGCTCCACGTACCTTCGCAGACGACAAAAAATGGGGCTCCGGCGACCCAATGCGAGCTGTCAGAGCCAACCACGTGTCCTCTCGGGGCGGTATTGTTGCATGGCCACGCCTCCCATGGGCCATCGTGTATGAGAAGGAAACTCGGCTACCTTGAGGCATAAAGTAATTTACATATATTCCTGAAAAGAAAATTCCAGTAATATAATTGTCTGAAAATGATTAAAATCATTGACATAAACACTAAGAGGGAAGGACGAATAAACATTTCAAATATTACTTCTAAATAATCTTAAATTGTAATCTAATCTGATGAATTTAGCAGACAATTTTGGGTAACGGAAGGGTAATGATCTCGAAAAAGTCCCACATACCGGCTTGCCGGCGTATATCTCGAGGTCATTTGGATGAGTGATTGGAAAGGGCTCGGCACTGACGGATTCATCAGATGATTCAACTGAATATGATGACGCCTGCTGAATATCCGGTTCGTGAACGCTTGGAGTTGCTCATTCCGATGTCGATGCAAAGTCCGCCGAACCCAAATTTCGACTCTTTTCTCGGAAGCAGGTAAGCGTATTATTTGACTGTCGCATCGGGCAGCTTTCGGTGGTGTAAAGGCGTGACCCCACTAGCGTGAACGGCGCCGCCGCTTGGCGCCGCGGGCCGCACCGCCGTCCGGCGTCTGAACGCGAGGAGTCCACATTAGCCTCCGTTTGGCGGGCGTCGTGCAACAGCCACGGCCACTCGATTAGGACTCCCCTTGGAAGCGGCCTGCCGTATGCCTCACTCCGCCGGTGAGCGCGATAGTTCTACTTTACCCCGCAGCGCCAGCCGTGGGGCTCCTTATCGGTGAGAGATAAAGCCCCTTGATAAAAGCGTTTTTTACAAGTACCGCCAACCATTGTTGTGGAAGCGCGCGAGACACGTGCCATGAGCGGGTGCTCCGCCGCCATTCGCTTCCGAGGCCCGCTCATTTCAGTGCTGCGCCGCCATTTGCTTCCAAGGGCCGCTCGAGACATGCGCCTCGTGCACTCGCGCATTTGACGCTACTTGCAAGAAAAACGCAACCACATCGAGGGGCTTTAGTGAGAGATAGAGCTCCTTTCGGGGGAGCACATTGAGGAGCTCTATGCTTCGTTTCATGTTAGTATTTACCACGCGTGCTAAAAGCGCAGCGCTAAAAGCCACGCGTGCTAAAAGCGCGAGATAGTTGCTTCGAAGGAAGCCTCGGCGGCTGCATGAGCGCTCGTGCAGCGAGTGCTCCAGTCAAGCAGTAAAGGCTAGCCGGTCGCGCTAGCACAGCGTTCACGGTTAGTCCACGCTAAGGTAAGACGAAATATAGTGAGAGAGGAGCAGTACGCCCGGCCCGGCCCGGTGTGGCTATTTAGATTTTTTTTTTTTCGTGAAGCCGTAAGTCTCAATTGAAACGAGTGCCAGATTGCATGAATGGTGTGACAAATCTGTGTAAAATAAAACCACATGATTCTTTCTGCGAAACGCTCACTCAGCTGCAGGCTGCGCGTTAAAGCTCCTTTCTGCTGGCAGTATGAGCGAATTGTCGTTTTCTTGTTCCCATAACCGTTGCCCCGTTTCTATTACCACTGTAATATAGGAGTTATAGTTGGATATAGCTAGGCCGTATGATTGAGCACGCGCGAGCTGTGCCATTTATTCATCTGTGAAGGACAATATAAAATCCGATTCCGCGTGCATAACTTCAGCAATATAAACTTCATTGTTCACAAAAAAACAGACCAAGGGAGTCATATAGTTCACAAGCGAGTACCTTTCGGGAAAGAGGCTTCCGCGAAAGCCTCAATATATTCTCTAGTGGGCTGATTAGGTCACCAGCCCAGTTTGCCAAAAAAGGTGTGAGGAGTTTTCTGAGAAAGAGCTCGCAGAGCTCTTCGCTGTGGTAGGGATTTCGGCAGTTAACACACCACATCAGTGGGCAGTCCATAAGATGTGGAAGCACAGCGCTCGAGAGGACCTTGCAAGTCCTTTCACAACCACGAATCTCTGCCGACTGTAGAGCCCTCTCGACAAAGGTGCAGACGAGCTTGCACAGCCAGACAGCTTCAGGTCGTGGATAGCTGAGTCCTCCCTGGTCAAGGCTAAACATGGACTGATATGCTCCGTCATGTGATGCGTTTCCCTTAAGTTGCGCTTGCATTCAGGACACGTCATCTTCAAAGTTTAGCAAGTCCTACACATTAGCCTTCCTTGCTTTCACTGAGAAATTCTTATTGCTTTGCTAGGTTGAATGTTTCAGCGAATTACTTTGAAATTACGACAATTTCTACAAATAAAGATGGTCACTTTTTGTTCGCAAACGAAGGCCAAGTAGCCAGCCATGTAAGTCAGCGGTGCGAACTCAAGTTCGGAAGAGTCTTTATTGTACTTCGTCAACTCCTGCAGTTGACGAAGTACAATAAAGACTCTTCCGAACTTGAGTTCGCACCGCTGACTTACATGGCAGGATTTCCTCTTTCACGAGTGGAGTTGGCACAATTCATCACCGTCTGGCACTCAGAACTAGAACGCGCATTTACATTTCCGGCAGCTTCCAAAATGCCAACACAAACCACACACGCGAGCGCAGAGTGACACTACGATATTTTCGCCGAGCACAGCGGTGCATAGGTGGGGGGGAAAGCCAGTTTTGCTGCCTTCTGCAACCGCGGCAGCGCCTCGGTATCGGCGAAGGCAATGACAGGCAGATATTTTATCTGGGTAGCGGAGCAAGAGCGCGTTGGGCGCCTTCTCTATACTCCGTTTCACCCGTTGTACCGCAGCGAAGGCTGGAAGCGCGAGCTCATGTTGACAGCTGCCCTTACTGCACGAGAGCGTGTGCCGCCGAGATCTGCCCCAGAGCAAGGAGCTCGCGCTTACAGCCTTTCCTGCGGTACAACATATGGTGAAACAGAGTACTTTCAGCTCATGAGACCGCTCACTAGGGTGCCTACATGTCTCTCTGTCTCAGGGTGAAGACATCCATTGTTGCCCTGAATGTGCCAGTGCGTGACGCTCTCGCGCACTCGGTGCGTGACTTGGGCGGTAAAATGGCGCATATGCATTAGCCAAAGCTAGGCGCACGAGCTGAGTGACACCGGATTGCGCGCACTTCAAAATGCATAAAAAAACGAATGGGCGGAAAAATGGCTGAGATGTCACCACTCAAGCAAAAGCGCGCGTGTGTATGAAGGCACTCTACCGCTCACCGATGTGCAGCGCCCCCACGGAAAATGGGAGAAGTTGTCCTCTCACGCGCGCTCTTTTGCTTTCGGAAAGACATCGGCAGGCCGCACCAACAGGGGGGATCGAGTGGCCGTGCAACAGCACTGCCTCTCGCGATCGCGCGCAAGCCTCCCATCGTATTTCCCGCTCTTTCGTCGTCTGCTCTTTGTTAGATTCTTCCGTTTCGCCTCTCATCTTTCGCATATATCAGCATCAAAACCGCACTCGCTGCAGACATGATGGGTGTCCATGATGACCTGGTGATCAGCGTGAATGTGATTATCCTAGCCTGCTCGTTGATCTTGCGACGTCGCCGCGCTTTGAAGGGAAGGAGGCGCAGGTTTTGAATCCGGCCGAGTTGGTTCTACCGAAAGACCGAAGGACAGGTCAGTGCTTTGCTGCCCCAGCGGCGCGCCAGAGATAAAGGTTGCTTCCGAGAGTGTCACCAAATCAACTCGACATCCCTTACAACAAAAACGACATGTAACAAGTATACAACGGAAGAAACTCGCTTGTAATTTCGAATTGCTCTCCTATAATTTTCCAGCGGTTGTTCCTAACCTCCTTATCTAGGTAGTCTGGCTGCGTCTTGCCGTTAAAAAGGGAAACCATCGCACAGTTTCGAGGACCCGCTCAGTTGGGAAAGGCATTGGGGGAAATAGGGATAGCGGACGAAACGAAACGACGCTGCGTTCCTTCGCAACGTGAAAGACGCACGGAGAACCGGTTTGCACGTCACCATGGCATCGCAATGTCACTATTTACGCCACCTTTCATTGGCCGCGTTAAGTCGGCGCTCCTTTACCCCTACTCCCCGAGCGCAGAAACTAAACGGCGCATAGCGTACAGGAGCGCGACACACCGAAGCTGCGTTCAGAACCTACTCGAATGAATCCGAGTTACCCTGGCGGATTATGTCACGTGACCACAAAAATAGAGAAACGCTGGACGCGGGTATGTTTTCGATAACCACATTTACTCTAGAGTTAGATCGAGTAAGTTATGGAACACGGCCAGAAACTATCAACGAGCCACACGAGCTCCTTCCGACCGTGAATACGGGTGGCAGAAGCCGAAAATCTTTCGAACATAAATAGTTAGGCCTGTGTGGAGCGGCAGAGTATAAAGCAAAAGAGACGGCAACGTTGTGAAGTTTCTACGAACGTTTTAATATTCCTAAAAGGTTCGAAGACTCACTTCGTGCACATATGTGGAAGGTTACCTTGGCCGCTCTGTATTTATTGACCATGCATGCTGTTCCGATTCAAATTAAAGACAACATTCTTAAATCCACTCGTCGACGCAGGAAACCCCCAAATTTGTGAGATTCCCTGGTTCCGTTGGTTCCGTCTCGCAGCGAGACAGAAGCCACGCCGATACCGGCACACTGTCGTTCGATAGCACGTCAATTCGTTTTTAGGCGGTATGCATGAACACAACGCTAACTGGTGTTTCGGCTTTCCAATCTACGTATCTTTATTCGCTGCAGCTGGGCTAATCATTCTAAGCAGGGCAGCGGTCTGACTGTCTTTTCATCACAACTGTTCTGTCGCCGAGCTATCGGCACCTCGTTCGATAGATCAATTAGCTTTCAGGCAAGACGTACGAGCAAACCTTTTTCTCAACGCTCATTGATGTTTCGGATTTCAAATGGAAGTGTCTTTATTCGCTGGGCTAAGCATTATAAAAGGGACAGAGCGGTCCGAATGTCTCATCTCGAAAACTTTTCTGTCACTGTGCTATCCGCACGCAGATGACTTTCTTTTTCAGGCGAGATGCACGAACAAACCTTTTTCGGAACGCTAATTGCTGTCTTGACTTTCAAATCAAATCGTTTTTACCAGCTGGATTAAGCACTAATCAACTGAAAAGGGTCAGCGGTCCGGTTACGCCTTTCGCCTCGACGGTCTCGACAGCAGCACAGCCATCTTGTTTGTTTACGTCACGTCACGGAGCGCGAAGAAGTCACTCGCGCTCCGAGAAATTTTCGGTGCGCGAACAGCGCGCTCGAGTGTCAGTCTCTGGTGGCACTCCTGTCCGTTTAGTAAAAGGAGCGCCAAACTCTCACGCTCCGGAGCACGGACTTAACGGGCCCATTTACTCCTCTCTTCTGAAGGCCCGTTCACACTCTTGCGACCGAGTACGACTGAGAGAGACGAGATCTCTTACAACTTCTTAAATGTTTCTAGAATGAGGGAACACACTGACATTGTAGCGCCATCTATGCGGTGACCCTAGAACTGCATTTCAGAAAAGCGGAGGTTTTGCGGGATTTTCGAGGTCAAATGTGCGTAATACCCATAGAAAGGCTCGTTTATAACATTGACAAAAGTTTTTCGAGCCAAAAAAGAAAGGATATTGCGCGAGAAATAAAAAAAAAATATGCCGGACCGCCGAGTTTACACTGCTTCCCAATAGATGGCGCCAGTGTGTTCTCTGGCCCCCTGCGCCCACCGTCGCGCGGCAAGCCTCCACGACGCCAATGTTGTCGTGCCTTGACTAATCCTGGACACTCGGATTTCCACAGGAGCTATCACGCTCGGAAAAAAAGTTGCAGCGAGTGAACGGCATTGGTGCACAACAAACTTTAGTGCTTCGATGGGTCTGAAAGAACGATCAAGAGAAAAAGCAGAAATGACGAAAGATAGAGAGAGAGAGATAAATTGGGAGAGAGAGGTACGGAGAGGGGTTGAAAAGTAGATAGCGATACGAAAGAAGGCAGATAAGAAGAGAAGGGAACAAACGGCTCATAGATAGCCATTGGTGGCCGCTTCACGAAAGCGCGCCCTGGCTGCGGCCCCTTCACGAAAGCGCACTCTCGGCCGCCAGCCGCAACCTCGGCAGTAGCGAAACGTGGCCGTCCACGCCAGTGCACCGGAGACGAACTAAGGGCAGCGGAAGAACGACATTCATGTTTTCGCATTCACAACTCATAGGAAGTACTTATGTGTCCTCGGACTTTTTTTTTGTGATTGTCATGTTTAAAAAGGGGAAAGTGAAGAAGGAATACATGCAAGCTGTAGATGACTCCCGACGATAAATAAGGACGGAGATAATAGGTGACTTTTATCAGAAGATCTTCGAAACCTAGAAATACTACTTAAAAGGTTAAGTAGCGGTGGCGTTTTAAGACCTCGCACTGTTGAAACTGGGGCTGGCATCTGCGGTCACTGCAATGTATGCCGAGGTGGCCGAAAACCGCCGAAGAGACGCCACCGGGACGAGCTGACACGAGAAATTTTGGAGGATCTAGAAATAGACAGATTGGGAGTCATGTGTGTCAGCAGGCCTTCTGTTGCATTATCTATGAAGGAGATTGATCTTCTGGCCAGTTGATTAGCTTGGTTTATCTTTTTTAAGGTGATGCTTCGTTTTTGTAATTTTGCTTTTGGGTGTTTTTCAGGCTGATTTTCTTCTTTTTGTTCTCAATTGTGCGTATATATTGCACCGTTGAGTTCAATAAAAATTTAGTTGCGAGTCAGCGCCCTGTCTGTGTCCTTCTTTACCCTGTCCGTTGTCTTTTGCTCTGTTTAAACATTTTAAGTATGTCACACCAACTCGCCCAGGCTTCAACCTTAGAAACCTAGAAATTTACGGTACTTATTGAGTAAAAACTTCTATCTGAACAATGTTTTAAATTATTAAATAAATTAAAAAATACTTGGAACTTTCGCCGCACCTGCTTATTTGTCCCAGCAACACTTATTAAAAAAAACATTTAAAAAACCTCACCCACTTGTTCCAGATTAGCAGCTCTCAAACGTTCATCCATGAGATACACATTTATTGAATAAAAGTGAAGCTTATGAAGTATACAGAGAGAATTTGAAGGCGGCCAGGCACTTAAATTGAGCGCAAAATCGACTTTTTAAACAAAATTTTGGAGTAGATAAGTACACAGTTGTATTAAGCTGGTGAATTTTTTCTTTAGTAAGTATATAATAATTTGTTCACTGAGTAAAGGGATATAAAAACAAAAGTCTGCCTTTTCTATACTTCGATCGCGTGTAACAAGAAATGATTTTCGGGTCACTGCCGTGTTTATTTGTGCAAACTGAAGAGGATATCTAAGTTAGTTTTGCTCATTTTCTATTACACTTTTTAGCATTCTTCAAAACGCCATAATGACCCATTATGACAATTGATGATTTTACACAAAAAGGCTTAACGTGGATTCGTTAAGAGGCGAAGAAACAATATTCAGTTTCTCTTTTGTTTTGTTTTTTACTTGAGGGAGCATATTTTTTCATTCAATGAAATCACCTTGCTCTACCTTATTTTCACTGCGATCGTTGGATATTTTTTTTTACCTTGCACTTGGGACCACTTCTTCCTAACCATTTTCTCCTACACGCTCTTTCAGTGCTACAGAACAAAATACTACGAATGTATGGTGCTGCTCATAAGTAGGCATATAATCTTCTTACAAATGTCGAACACTCCGATGATGATAGCGAGTGAAGTGAGCAGACTGAATTTCAGAAAGGTTTTAACCCGTCAGGCAGAAGTGTCTTTTTTCCTCTCAACCTACCAAGCTTTGGCGTCAAATAATAAAATAATGAAAAAATAAAAGCTTGGGGGGGGGGGGGGGGATTTGGCTATGATCGGCTAAGGAGATCTAGGACGTTTGCGTCATATTCGACTTTAGCTCGCCCACACTTGTCCTGAATCCGTGGATTATTTTAGTGCTCTGAAATTAAGGCTAGCGGAAGTGTGCGGTCATAGCTGGGCCAGGGTTCATCATTTGATCTATCATATGCCGGAGCCTGCCCCAATCCGGCAAGTCTAAGGCGACAGGAGTCAGATGGCTCCTTTTATTCACGCGACAAAGACTACCCGTCTATAAAAGCTCTAACAGTACACACGGGCGCCGAAAACAACAGATCTCGAGGAGCTCACCTTAGAGAAGGGTGACATTAAAACTATTTCATCCGCTTCTTATTTTCTTTACGATCCTACGCAAGAAATTTCCTGCTTGGCTAAAACAAAGTGCCGTGCTTCATGTGTGATTTGGTTGAGAGCAACATCGAAGCCGTGCGGATCATCCACAGGTTCCGTTTCTGCCACAATTAGGAGAAATAAAAGTTACACAAACCATCACTTGCAGTCTACTGTTTCGAACTAGGAAATGACACTTCCTCCTTCAACTCAATCTATCGGTACTGTGCTTGTTTTTTTCTGATCCCTCTTCTTTTGTCCTCGTGTATAACGCTCTGTTGCCACTAATAACGCATTTGCATGTTCCGCAATTCGTGTGCATTTTTAGTCGTTTCTTTTCGCCTTCATTTCAGCCTTGCCTTTCTTCACCTCAGATTACCCATAACGATGGTACATTTAAGCTGTCTTAGGCTTTTTCATTTCTAAAAGGACCATGGAACAACCTGTGTTTAAATTTTAAGATTTTTTATATTACTTAGGAGGATAACAAGACAAGCAGCAAGATAGAATAAGGAAGAGTTGATGAGGGGGCAGTAATATTTCATATTTATTTTAATATTTGCACATTCTGGCTATTCTAAGCGCCCCCGGGAGTGTAACAGTAGTAGCGCTGTAGGACTAGTAGATGAACTACCTGGTGGTATGAGTTAAAAAATAAAAGAAAAAAAGGGTCTACGACTTTTAGCAAGGCGCATAAACGGGATCTTTTTTTACGCAGGGGCCTGGAGCTCGGACGACTTAGAGCTCTACGCGTGCCAGAAACGGCTGATGGAAAGCGAGGACCTGTCCAACAACACCATAACCATCCACTTACCTTGGGACGAGTTTGACGTGGACCGGGTCTCGTATTTCGACCGCTTCAGTAAAGTGTTGCTGGACCGGGGAACTCTAATAGGATTTCAGGACGAGCTTCTGAAAAACAAGACCGCGTGGAAGGGAGTTATCGATTCCGCCGGACATAAAGTGACCCACAATATTACCATAGACGGTCTGTCCGTCAATTTCAGGGCCTTCGTGACCCACAGCAGGTTTCCCCTTATCGGTAAAGCGGCGAGCGCCCTTGGACTGGCCTGGACGGACACGCACGTCCTGACCATGACGGCGAAGAAACTGACTGCTCAGGTGGACCTTGCCCTCGTTCACGGTAAGCACACATTGCAGACACACACAACCAATGCGGAGCGGCAGTGGGTTTACTTATTCTTTTGCAGGGTTTCTGGTGGCGTCAAAACGGCTCCGATCGCTGATTGGCTCTGATCGAAGGACAACGGGTATATACCTCAAGGCAGCTTGCTTTGAGGGCTACCCACTATCCTTCAATCGGAGCCAATCAGAGCTCGGAGTCGTTCTGACGTCACCTAAATCCCCGGAAATAGAAGCAGACGAACTTGCGCTCCGCATACTTTGTTTCACGTCAAGTCCGACCACAGACAACGCTACGATCGAATGGAACCAATCGGGAAGCTCCAAAAGTTCTTCGTCATGGCGCTCGTCTTCTCTTTGCGTTGGCTGTCACTGAATAAACGAATCACGCACGGCGTTGCGCTGCTACCCTGCGTCTTTCTTCGCGCGTAATTGGTTTCGTTAGTGACGGTATATCCCCAAAGAAAACAGTCGGAGTGACGCTGCACTTTTGGTGCTGTTTAATTGGCTCCATCAAATCACAGCGTCGGCTCCGGCCGGACACAGAGTGAAACGGTATACAATATACCAAACCTATAGATAGACCTTTGCAAAAAAACGCCTCCTGCGCGTTTCCATCTTTGTCTGCTGGGCTGTTGAACGCCCTTGAGCATGCGCTGTTGATGCAGTATATTGGACGATGAGCATGCGTACACAGCTCAGTGACTCAACAGTTTTGGCCCAAGTAATTAGCGATGCAAAGGTCTACGCACAGCCTCTCCCACCTTCAGGTAACGTCATCCCATTCGGATGGCTCCCACTAATGAAAATAGACCATTTAGAAAATTTTGAGCAATCTGGGCGGGCTTGCTAGAACAGCGTCTCAGCCGAGACTGGGTTAAAGAAAGCACTGCAAAAAGTCTGTCTGGGGCTGCCCAAGCGTCTTGAGTCGCGGTTTGAGTCCCGCTCAGCTCGTGCGCTGGCTTTGGCTGAGCTTTCTTTCATCACCCAGTCTCAGCTGAAAGGCTGTTTCTAGCAAGCCGGCCCTTGTGACTCAGAAAGTGGTTTCACACCGACGGACTGATGGCTTAAAGGCAGCAATGGAAACTCTGTTTCATGGGGCACTGTCACTTTCGCACGTCGATGGCAGGGGAGGGGGGATTAATAGCCGAGTGTGGCCATTTCACCTCAAGATGGACCGGAGCGGATGCTTTGCTATACGTTTTAGCCAATCCAGTAGCATGAACATGTCACGTGATTGCGCTCTCTGCACCATTCCTGGAGGTCACGTGACACTCACGCGGCACTGGATTGGCTTGGATGGTTCGTAGCCTCCGCAGCGGTCCATCGTGGAGCGAAAGCTCGCGCTGCAGAACCCTATGCTAAATTACCCAAGTATCAAGGACAACGCTGGAGAACGCAGGTCTACGAGCCGCACGCGCTCGTCTTCTCCGGGTGAAAGATCCGAAGTAAATAATTAAAATAAGGTATCGACGAATGCGCGTGCAACATACCATTTGTTTTAGGTTTTTGTTTAGAACAGTTACTGCTGCACACGCCAGCACGTGCAGCGCCTCTAACTACACTCATAGCATGCCCCTTGGTGCTTGGGTAATTTATCAAACGGTCTATCTCCACACCTGCCCGTTTCGATATGGATAGCTTTGAACTGGCGTTATGGTGGCTATAGGGAGTATTCACTGGCGGCCATAGCTGTGTGCGCGACTGCTGAGCGTGTGCTGAAGGCGAGCTTCCACAGTTCTTTTTCAGCGTGCATTCCGCAACCATAAAGATTGCCGGTCTTAGCAGCCTATTAATGTGACCTCACTCTGAGCATGCGCTTTAAAGAGCCCCCCCCCCCCCCCCCCCCAAATATGGCATCCAGTGAATACTCCCAATAGGGGTAGGTGTACGGAGTGCTGTGCGTTCTTGGGTATTTCCACGTGCTGCCGCATTTTTGCGACAAAAGTGGCGCTATGGCCAGGGTACCGGTCGAAAACTGTACATGCTGCGCATTGTTGAGAAAAGTACCGCAATGGCGTTTTCAGGGCGGCCATGTTGTCTCCAAGGCTGCACCGGGGGAAGCGACCGTCGCTTCTGCAAGATTTTCGAATGCCCGAGCCCTCCGTGTCGTCGTCTTCCCAGACTTTGAAAAACATCTTTTAAAACTTACCTCACGTTACAAAACAACGCGACTGTTCTGTATCCTGTGGTTACACATAATGTTGAAAGGTCAAGGTACCTTCCAGTGCGTTCTATTTTAGTGTAGGATGTACATTTTGCAAGCGCAAAGTGAGAAACATGATGAGCCCGAAATTCGGCGCCTGCAAGGTCGCTTTCCCGCAGGATAATCGGATACAACTCGGTGCACGCGACCGCGTCTCGGCCAATACAAAGTTGGCGGTGAAAGAAAAAGGAACGCGATACCCTAGCTCTGCAGGCAGAGTCTATACAGTTACTCTAGGTACCTTTAAAGCCCCTTGATGAAGACGTTCTTTAAGAGTACCGCCAAGGTGGAAACGCGCAAGATACGTGCCACAAGCGAGTGCTCCGCCGCCATTCGCTTCCAAGGGCCTCTCAAGACGTGGGCCTTGCGCACCGGTGCCTTTGACGCTACTTTTAAGACAAACGCAACTCATCGAGTGGCTTTAGTTAGCGGTGCATTTCTGCTCGAAAGGGGCGTGGCGTGAAAAATTTGAAGTGTTGTGCGCGAGCGCACGGGCCACGATAGCGTCTCGTACTCCTCATGCTCAAGCAGAACGCGCTTCTACGCGTGGTGGATAGTGCGCCAAGCGATGTTACCACATTTAGGGTACCGATGCCATCGGCGTCATGAACAAGTGACATGCATTCGATTTTCTGCTCGGCACACCTACCTTTATAGGTCCGTAGCTCTCAAGTTTTGAGCAGCGCTCCAGGCGAGCAAAATAGAATATTTGGCTCGCGTTTCGAACGTTCGTCAATACGCTTCCCCACTACAGTCTTTTATACTCCGTTCCATTATAAGTGCCAGCGTACCAGAGGTTACAAGAGCGAGCTCGGAGCTTTCAGTGTTCCTGCCACGCACGCGCGCTCGTGCAGTGCGAGCATCATTCAGGGGAACATGCTTTAGCAAGTATAGCTTCGGCTTCGCTATCAAGTAAAGTGAAACATACGGACTCACGGAAGCTATGAAAGAGAGCAATAAAATAATAAAGCTGAAAGGAATGTTTAATGGGACGCGGAGGGCGCGAGCCGTGACATTCTTTTTTTTAAAGTTTTTTTAGACGTTTTGTTATCGCGCGTCTACAGATTCTGACAGATACTTGCATTCGAACGTGGCGCGTGCAAAATCGAACGTTACAGCGCCGCCTAAATGGTGCTGTCAGCATAACATGGTCGCGTCTTGCGGACGCGCTCGCGCCCCCTGCCCGAGAGCAACAGGCCGATTGACACCATACCGGCGTGCGGCCGTGCAACACGGCTGCGTACCGCATGTTAAACAACCCAGACTAGCGGTAATATTGCACTAGCCTTGATTTCTTATTTTCAGCTGAGGCACCAGACGCCGATTGAGGCTAACTTCCGGCTGTATAAACATACGCACAACACAGTACAAACAATATAACGTCAATGGCAGATGAGTGTAGGTGCTTTGATCATCTCATACCCACCTTTTTCTTCCGCACAATAAAGTCTATCTGCTATGGTCAGCGCCACCATGGCAACGAAGCGTCTTCTGCATGGAGGAACGCGCGAACGCAGCATCTGAAGCCGGATGCGGCAGTATCCAGTTTCTGAATGTCTGCTGCTAACGTGAACGCGGCAACGCTGGCCAAAGTCGGACGCGCCGTTGTAGAGATCGATGTTGATAAAGCTCGATGCCTCGATGCACGAGACACGTGCAACGTGCAGTCCTTGGGAAGATCATGGCGGCACAGCACAGCACTGAGCTAGATTTCAGACGCCATGAATTTCCCAGAAGCGGCGCGCGGCACGTGTCTCGAGCATTTCCACAACAATGAATGGCGCCACTTTTCCCATGATAGAGGGGCTTTAGATGTTGAGAGCTGAGAGCGTCACCTGGCGAACCTTTGGCGGTTATGACGAGGCTTGGCGCACGCTCAGACCTGAGGTTAGAGAGCTTTAGGAGCTCCCGCCACAAATAGGGTGGCCTGAAAAAAGGATCTACTATAGCTCTCTATTTATGACAGCGTTTCCACGAGAGAAGTGAAGAGTCAGCGCTCATGGCGCGTTTTGTTTGAAAGTCAATTAGCAGCGAGATGCTTTGATGTCGGCTCGCTATGGTTCCCTCTCATAACGTCATTATTACCTAACGAACAACAAGTTCGATAGTGTTTGTAATTAGCATAGTGGAAGTTTGAAATCATTAGGCCCTGGAACGAACACTGCAAACACAATCAAAATTAAAGGTCCCCTACTCTTATTTACGTAGATGAGAAATCATTTGCTGACGTCATCGTCAGCATTCGTCCAATCGTGGAGGACCGAACACAGCGACGCTTTCGATCGCGCAAGTCGCCAATACCTCGAAGCCAAAGCTAGCGTTGACGTCTTCGTAGCAGACGGCATTTGGAAGATGGAGAGGCTGTAGCTGGCTTCAGACGCCACGTTCGCGGTCGTGTCTATGGACATTCGTTGGCCATAGTATATATAGGTTGTGGTGTGTATGGAGACCGTGGTGTGTACTTGGGGTCTCACGCCGTGCTTTTCAATGGGGCAGAACGTGAAAGAAAAGCCGTTCAAAACAGAGACTTCACTGAGATAGTTTATGTTTTTCCGGCGCCTAATATTTTTACATGCGACAAAGGCATGTTTTTCGGGTCATTGGACCGTTGATTTTGGCGGTTGGCCTCGCGACTCATAAGTGCCTTTATTTTGTTTCCGCAACGAAAAGGCTTTAAAGCCAAGCTTGTTTGTGTCAGTATATCGATTGTTAGGTCAATCACGACATACGCGCAGGAAATGCACATGGAATTCGCTGCGAGGTCTCGCCGTTCACAGATTTTGCCTTCAAATCATTCTATAATTTTTAAGAGTATGCATGCATTTTCTCTCGCAGGAGACAAATGCCTCCTGTCGCTACCCATCTGGAACATGGAGACGGAAGTCAGGGTATATCCCCAAGTGGACTTTGCCGAAGAACGCCAGAAGAAGTTTGCAGCAAAGCTCAAGAAACGTATTGCAGACACTCTTAGGAGGACCATAGAGACCATGTACAGGAGAGCTTTGTGGTAATCCTAATAAGTAAAGCAGCAATAAACCCTTTTCAAAACCCAATAAAAGGATCTGGGAAAAAAGAGGCGGGGGGGGGGGACTGAGTCGAGTTCAAGTCGAACTTTGTCGTAGCCATCAAATCCAACACGTCCTCACAGTGAGTGCCCAAAACAGATTGAGCACACTATGGGAATAGTTTCTTCGATACCTCAACATTCTAGCCCGTCCTCGCGACACCTGGTTAAATTATAGCCGTCTTCTGCAGCTATTTTTAGTATAGCTTAAACAAGTAGTCTTCGGCAGAATGAAAGGTGTTTCTTAATACTCCTTTGAGCAAAAAAAAAAAAAACAGTTAAGAAATGTTATAAAAATTTTTTTGTTTCGTTGTGCCTTGAGTGTAAATATGTACACGTTACAAAAATGAAGAATTGCATTAAGAAATACCTGAGGTGAAATCGTAACGAATTACAGTTACAGTTGACATTTTTCTGAGATCGCTAGGTGCGTATGCACCGGTTCTGAGAGGGGAGAGAGAATGGAAAGGCGTCATTTTCGGGAGATTCCTTGTCACCTCAGTTGCTCATACAGTGCAGGTTCGGCTTGACTTCCTCCGTTGTTCTCGTGGCTTGGCTTCATAGTCGTCATTTCTCACAACTGCGCAGCTGTAGGTGCAGAAATAACAGCAAAAATGGTTAAAATGGAAAACGTTATAGAGTTCTAGCAGCCTTTTGCGGGTGGTGCACGAAAGCACCCGATGTCGAACACCCCACCCTTTTTGCCCCGCTTTCAAAGGCCCCTGTTTCAGTAGCCTATGACGCGAATCACCCGTGTAAAGGAGCCGGGTCTGGGTACATTCCGCTTTTAGGTAAAAGACAGTAAGCGTGACTCTAGGTTGTGTAACGCAATCATGCCGTACCCGACACTGAAGTGAAAAAGAACTGGATAAAGCTTTCCATTCTTCATGCATGCGCGATACACATTCACGTCTTGCCACGTTAAAAGTGCAAAAAATATCGGTCACTGGCAAAAGACTTAAAGTGTGGGAAATGAATTCAAGCCTCACCGCGACAGAACCATGACGGCACGCATCGGCAACTAATAGTGAACTTCCCTGTTTGCAGGGCCCACTTCGTCGGTTGTTTTGAAACGTGCTGAATTCAAAGGGACATTGTTTCCGACACACCGTTCCTTACCCTTTAACGGTGCAGGCGAGCCTTCGCGATATCAAGACCGAATCGATTTCACACGGTTCGAATTTGTTTACACCCCCCCCGGATATGGCGATGTCCCTCGCGCTCGCGCGGAACACAGGACGGCGAAGTGACGGAACGCAATAAGCTTGGATACCTTAGGCGCTCAAGTAGAACGAAATGAGCTATTTGTAGTGACGGGGCCTCATAAACGGAGCTCACAAGATTCCGCACAACGTGGATAGTTGGTGGGGGATCAAAACTGGTCACCATTACTTTCCTTGCATTACACTCTGCCTTGAAAGCCGACGACTTTTAAAGCAATAACTTCATAACTCTTTCTAAACTTATATCATTAACAACGCGCTCACTAACAAGTACAATAACTTTACGGGTCCACACATTGCAGAGATTTTGACCTCGTCTCCATCCGTCGCCGCTATCGAGAAACCCCTCTTTCTGTTTCTTGCGCGAGGTCAGGGAAGTTAATTTCTTCGTCTGGTCACCCTGACATCCTGCCAGTAACGGCACTGCGAAAGGAGAATCTTTCGTGTCGTCGGCTTGAAAACTTGTTTTCAAACATTACTCGGGTTATGCGAAATTCCGTTTTGGCAGTATCCAGTTTCTACGCGTAATGTTGGATGGTTTTAGAAACTTCCATCGCGCTTACCACTTACTTCACGGATAACTGGTGACAGTCGTCAGTGGCATCCACGATGCCAACCACAGCGGCTATGAGAATTAACCACGTCGCACCTCCGTCCTTAGGTACGTGACGGCACCATTCCACCACGCATTGCGCGACCGTGCTACGCCTATCGTGTTTATTTCTTCGCACATTGTGGGCGAAGAGTGCGAGTTTTTCAGTTGCTTGCACGACGCGACACCGAAGTGACGATTGAGCGACAACGAGTCGACGTTAGGAACAGATGCGGTGTCGGCGGTCTATCCGGATATCTTTGTTTCGTTAATCCTCCAGGGTCGAGATCAGTCATTCCGAAGATGCGCGCGAAGCGATGACAGAAAGACACGTTCGGAATGGCGGAAGACGGAACAAAACCAACAGAAAACACACGTAAACAGACGGACCGGAAGACAGACCAGGCACGGCGCGGACGACGGAGCGATGGTCCGGAGCCCCCAAAAGCGTTTCGAATGATTCCCGCGAGGGCGCGCCGCGATCGTGGCCAAATCCTAAAAAAAGAAATAATAATAAAAAAAAATAAAAAAATAAAAAGCTAAAAAAAGGAAACCCATTACACTTTCATAAAATAAATAACCGTTATATGAAAAAGTTATCATGCACTTTCGCAATGTTACCTTCAACCTTCTGTCCTTTAGGTTATACACAAAACAGAAGAGTGTTATGGAGCTGTTTTTGTTGCCGCCAGTCACCCTTTTGTGTTCAAGAGTCTCATCGAACATCTTGCCTTGTTTCTAAGTGAAGATATCGTCCACTGCGCAGAACAATCTTCAAAAGGAGGCACTAATCACGAATGCCTGACGCACTGCATAGCGTGGTAGTTGCGATTGTTCGAACAGCTCTCTGCTTTGGTGAACGCGCAAAGCTTCGTTGTTGCAGCCGAAATTTGACGAGGTTAGAATCGCCAAATAATGAGAATTGTCATACAAGTTTTTAAATCTAGAATAAGATTCAAGCATGTATGTAAAGATAAACATATTTCAGGCGGCAAATATCGTCAAACATTGGTACAGAAGAATGGCTACACTTTAATTAAGCATCATATTTCAATTATAGATTATATTTATATATTGATCTTCCATTAGCTCTGAGCATAAGTGGAGCCTCGGTCAAGCTTTTGGTGAATAAGAGGATGGTGCTTTTTTATATTTAACCTACAAAAACACCAGGGAATCCCCCGAAAGGCATAAATTTATTATCGATTAAAATATGGAAATGTAGACGAACCTATGCCGTGCCTACCTTTTCCTGATGCCGTCTTAACGAATGTAGCACAGGTCGTCCGAATCACAGCCCAGTGCATTACTTCTTCAGCTAGTACTCAAGTGATGCAAGAGCAGCAGCGCTCCAGAGCGACAGCAGCCATTCTAGTAAAACGCTTTCTGCGTCATGCAGGAAAATCAATGATCCCGAAGGGAAGAGTGACGAGTGTAAGAAAAAACACCAGAATAAGTTCGTGGGATGTCAGACCGGTGTTGTGTATGACATTTCGCTTTCCTGCGGTAGGTCTTACGTAGGCCAAACTGGGCGTTGTGTAAATGATCGCGCGAGAGAGCATGCTGCTTCCTTAAAACAGTCACCTTCGGGGCACCTGGCTGTGCATTGCAACCGATGTGAGTGCACACCAGTTTTCAATGACGTGGCAATCCTGGGGCGATACAGCAAAAAGATTACAAGGGAAATTCATGAGGCGTATGCAATAAGGAAGGGTACAGATAAGTGCATAAGCGAGCCTTCTGTGACTCTGTCAGAAAAAGAGCGTTTATTCTTGGATAAAGAGTGGGCACGTGGAAAGCGACGTGGGTGTTCTTAAAAGTGTATATAAGACTATGTTTTTCCATAAATAAAACTTCAGTTGCGAGTGCGCCTTGTGTCGTCGTCTTCTAACCTTGTTCTAGTCTTTCGGCGCTTGTCTTTTCCCATTAAAAATAACAACATTCCTACACACATCTAAGGCAACTGAAATATTCCGAATAGCATGAAATGCTAAGAACAAAAATTTAAGTACATGGCATATCAAACTTTATTTGACACACAAAACAAGATAATCAGTTTACAAGTGGCGGACACGTGCGTTTGCTAAATACATAGAAACGATACAATGCGGGAAAAACACTATGCCACTACAACGTGCACACGTACACACAAAGATAGGTGCGAGCAGAAACTATGCGTCACATTTAATATTAGAAGTCAGCCACACGTAATTTATGATGATAGAGCAAAATGTTTAACATTCTAGCAGGATAAGGTCATACACGCATTGATCAGCACAAGATTTATACAGCGCGAGGATACTTTATAACAAACCGTATTGAAAAATGCGCACACACATTTAGATAGTCTTGAGATTGCGGTACGCCGTCAAAGAACAAGCGGCGTTAGTGTACGAGGCTTGAGAATGCCGAACTTAGAAATTTCAGCTTACAAAACACAGGTAGCAGATATTTTGAAGTGTGTATTTTTTTCTTGTATTGCGGCCATGGTACATTGGTGAGAAAAAACGGCGGCAGACACGGTATAAGTAAACGTAGGTATGAAGCAAACATGTTTCGTGCGCGCTTGAGGCGTGTAAGCAGACAATCCTGTTCTCATGTTTGCTATGAAAACCGCGTCTTTTGTATGGTGTATAAGTGGTGTGACTGAGGTCTTAAGGATGGATATTAGTTTTTTGCTAAAAAAGAACACGTCCTCTAGCGAGGACACACCTCCCTTAAAAACAAACAATACATATTAAGCAACGTATTCTTCCAAAAAAAGAATTAAAACCATGGCCACGTCTGGTTAGGTGATGAATGCTTTTCCTTTATGTGTATCGCAGGAACACTAGATTAACGAAACAGGTGACCTGTGTTTGTTCTTCAACCAAGTCAAGAGGTAATAGCAATCAGACAAGGAGCCTGTCATCTGATCACGTGACGACGAGTTTATGGAAAAGAACTCATGAATATGCGTCACGACGACTGAATGCAACTTACGGACGCCATCACCACCTAACGCCATGACTCATTAAAACATAATCATTCTATATCCCTAATCCAGTTTGCAAATCTCCGTACCCAGGTCCCTAACAACGCGTACGGGTCGTGACTATCGAAAGACCACCATGGAGTGCCACCGTCGTCTGATATACTTCGATGTTCATATCGATACATATTGGATTAGCTTAGTGACGTCTAATTGCACATTCAACTATGAAAGCTAAAAAACTTACAAGGTGTCCAACTGCAAAAATAACGAAGCATGGGCGAAGGTTGTTCAAGTTTAGTAGTTCTACTCTGCGGGGACTTTTATCAAGCTCTGTGGCACGTCCAAGAGTCCGCCTGAACTCCGCTAATTGGGATGCCCGATCAAAAAGGCCGGTTTCAAATGCTCTGCCGACGACTGCTCCCAGATGCTTGCAATACGGGGAAGTGCTTATAATCTGCGGTCCGGTCACGACGGCTGGATAGTCGCTCTCGGTTCTTACGAAGCCTTTGCTCATAAGCTCGTTTT